CCCCCCCCCCCCTGGGCAACAGTATTGTAAGTAGGATAAGTAATCCTAAGTAGTGTAAGTTGTATTGTTGCAAGTAGCATCTGTAATCGTATCGTAAGTGGTGTAAGTAGTTTGTAAGTAATTACATTGTATAACAAGTTTTGTTAGTAATGTAAGGGACTGTACTCTATCAGTATTGTAACAAGGTTAAGTAGTTGTATTACTGTTGTAAATTGTGCAAGTAGCCACACCAGTGTTGTAAGTAGTGCTCAGTAATGTAAATCACAATTAAAATGTAAAAGGAAAAAAAAAGAAAAATAGTTAATTCCAATTCTGATTTTCCTACTTGATATCCTGTTTTATCTGATCTAAATATCCCATGTCCCGTTAATTTTCCCCCAAAATATCTTGAATCCCATTAATTTTTTATCTAAATATTGCCAAACACCCCTGATAGGGCCTTGTTGGTTATTGCTCACTGAAAAATTATAAGGGTGAGTAGTCTACTTGATTGAGAATAATGTTCCATCAAGTGTTGTGACACTAAATGAAATCACTCCGGCCAGTCGCCAAGGACCCAGACATTCCATAATTTCTACTTTCAAGGCAACCTGCATGTAACTGTGTTCTACCACTTCTATTCAAGGGGAACTTAAACCTCTGTTTTCTTAAAATCTTGGATATATATTAATTCTTTTTAAATAATTTTTTTTACTGCCACATTCCTTCACGAGAGTGATAATAGTGAAACAAGCCAGGCTGTTTCAGTCTTTCAACTTCTAGTTTAGCAGAAAGCACGCGATCAAGCAGATCCCAATCTTCACCTCCCCATTTAGTGGTAAAGTCTTTAACATTCATCCCTGCAAAAACAAATAAATAAATAAGCAAAGTCATGTACATATGTGCGGAGCAGCAGTGGCCTCATGATTAGTCCACTCAACTCCAGATTGAGTGGTTCCAGGTTCAAGCCCTTACCGGGGGGAACATTGTGTCATGTTCTAGGGCAAGACACTTTACTCTCACGGTCCTTCTCTCAACCCAGGTGCACAAATGGGTACCAGCAATTTTAATGCTGGGGGTAACCCTGTGATGGACTAGTATCCCATTAAGGGGCGAGTAGAAATACTCCTAGTCACTTCATGCAGCAGAAACCAGGAAAAGCTCCCGCCTGAATCGGGCCACTTAGCTCCTATGCAGACTTAACCATGTGCATGTGTGGTCTGAACGACAAAGGAAGAAAAAGACTCTCAAAGCCGAGGACAATGGGGCAGAAACTGACCCACCTGTCAAACACCAGAATTCAGTGGGGGTTATTCAATGGAATATTTCACTACATGCCTCACCCCCAATTTTCATGCGGCCATTTTTCCACTTTCTGTTTATACTTTTGTTTTACAATCCTATTATTGAGCCAGTCTGCTACAAGAAGGGTTTGCTTGCAATCTCATTTGCGGCCAATTTGAACATGAGAAGACAAAGAGTAGCATGGAGAGTATGAAACACGTTAAGGGAGGGGGCCTGGTTGTACTAATGCTGGCTGTGATCTGATACTATTGATCTCAGATGTCTGTTGAAATGGCTTTTTTCAAGCCCTTACACGCACTGTTGGTTTCAGCTATTGGTTTAGCTGTCACAAATTCCTCAAAAATAGCAAGTTCAAGGAAAATCTCACCAATTTGATGGATTTCGCATCTATTTAACTTTTCTCTGTATCACATCTTGAATAATATCTTGCGAGAAAGTGTGAGACTCTGCAACTAACTTGTGAACAAACTGTGAAGCACCTTCCCCGAGGAAACATTCACTCATCACACAATAATGAAATTTGTTATCACGTGATCACTTTTTTGAATCTGTGAATGCAACCAACAGTGGGCGCAATGGCCTGAAAAAAAAAGTCTGGTAATCAGACGTCTGGGATCAATAGTTTGACAGTTACACACCTCCAAAACTATCCCAGTCCTTTTTGAAAACACTTAAAATCCCGTAACCGTCATCCTGCCAAAAACCACGGGGATCACTTGGAAACTCTCCGCATGCTAATCGGCCAACAGTTGGTGCATAAGCCATCTTGCCTAAAATGGTGTGCTGCAAACAGAATAACATAACATTCATATCAAGAACCATAACAGAAGTTTACTTTCAGACATAACATTACAAGGGCAATATATTACTCTGTTTAGGTCTATGGGTGTGTTTAAAACACGAAATGGGAAATTGACAAAATCACACTATGAGTATGAGTCAATGTTGGATACAGGTGTTTTTTAGGACTACCCTTACAACTATTGAGAGCTAACCACTGTCCAGTCAGTGATATTTATGCTAACCTGAGCCCTATGTAGACTAAATATGGCAGTGCCATTTCATCATTTTGCCGTTTTGTGCTTTAAACACGCTCTAGGTGGGGCATGTTTAAATAGATGTATTAATTCTTTCCAGAAAAATTTATCTCATTCTTTCCTATATAATTTCGCTAAGAACATTTTTTATCTTATTTAGATAAATATTGGCTCTCATGTTCATGTTGTACATGCTAGATAAGGCCCATCAACAAAACTACACCAAAATTTGGTACGGCACAGATAAAATTGGTACCAGTGTCTACTTCAAACATGTGTTTAAGCCATGTAGATAAACAGTCCAAGCCCAGAGCAAGGGACTGCCATATGAAAAGGTCAGCAGATGCTCATTGGAAAATTTGAATTAAACCCCTAAAGGAGACCAATCTGGGCATGGCTGGAGCTTTTTTTGATCTCTGAAAGATACCACTTAAAACAGAATAGGCTTGACTACCAGTTCCTGTTCAGGAATGGTAGACCAGACTCAAGTGAGTGGTGGAAATCAAACCTAAGAAAGGAAATGAGATTGTTTTCTCTTCGAGTGGACCCTAAAAGATACTCTGACAGCTAAAAATAGTGGCGTTTGGCCTGAACACCCTCCGTGACACCAAAAGCTCTGATTTATACCCCTAGGAGAGACAACGAGCATGCCTGACCTATTCATATGGGGTCCTTCCCCCCACCCCCCGTCCCAGAAGTCCATGCAAGGATGAGAATTGATACCTGAGCCCTACCAAAAATCCTGTGCTGTATAAAATGGTCCTTTAGATACCCAGAAGTAGCAAGCAACCCCCTCCCCCTCCCCCCACTCTTAAAGTTGCAACCCCCAAACGTGCATAGCAACTAGAAAAGACTGGTAAATCCAGAAATAACAAGCTGGGTTGCTTCACACAGCAAATGGGGGAATGCAGATTACTCAGATGTATAACTTATAAGCCAAAAATGTGCATTCCACCCAAAACTCACACTGAAGAAATGTCTAGATTTCAAAGGATTAATAGACAATAAGACAAAGATCCATGCCACACATATTTGGTGTAACTGTTAGAGCTGTCATTAAGGGCTGTAACTGCAACACCTGTTACGGCTGATTATGCTTGATTTTTCCCTTGACGCTACAGGTGAAATTGCCTGTTGTTGATAGAATTCACCCACAATGACAAAGTAACAAGTTTGCTACTGGTATGGAGAACAAGGCTACAGGTGACTCAAATCCTAATGACAGTGAGCCCTGTAACCTGTGGGCAGTGCAGCCTGGCTTACAAGTTAAAGTTATCTTTAGACCTCGTCTTCCTGACACTATCTCAAAATTATATACCCTAACTAACAAGTTAAATGCATCTTCAAATCTCACCTTTCTTACACTATCCAAAAGTCCTATGGGAACATCAATATGAAGGTCAAAAAGAAAGACAATATCATCGTCATGTGGAACAGCTTGAACTGCCTTTTGGATTGCAAGTGTCTTGTAAAAAGGGCCACTCAACTTGATTAATGTATAACGGTCTTGAAGAGGCCACACACTAAATGCTTCATCAATATCAATGTCTTCACTGTCAAAATCCACAATAATGACATGGAATCCTAAGTCGCCAGACTGACGAGACATGTTTGCAAGTTGAGATGTAAAGTGATGGACCCACTTGCCCTGGTTTTTCACAGGGAGTATAAAGTAAATGGTTGCATTTTTCTGCCACACCATTCCTTCTGGAAAACAGAGTTCATCCTTCCCAATCGGAGCATAAACATATTCCGAGAGACGAAAGCTTTCATTTGATCCATGGACACCTAATTGAAGTTCAAGAAGAAAACGATTTCCCTTCTTAGGATCTGGGTTCTGCTCAACATTTAGGACTTTTTGCAAATAATATCTACGATAAAAAGAAAATATTTTGGTCAGTATCTACAAGAACATTACAGTGTTCTTAATAATACAGGGGTGTAGCCCGCCATTTTTTCCATTTAAACCCAAATTGTTCAGCGTAAGTCGTATACCAAATTTTGCCAACTTCCAAAAAAAAACACAACAACAACAACAGTCAATTAATTTTTGTGTGCATAACCTTTCAGCATTTTTTCATGTAAAGTCATTATTTTGTTTTTCAAAATAAAATGTTGGTATAGCGGTGATTCGCTATTCGACAGTAAGAAAAAGAAAATATGGCCTTTTGGCTACTAAAAAACAATTATTTACAGAAATTCTTGTTAAGCCTGTACTTAAGGGCTTATATGTTGGCTATGCCCCTGTAACAGATTTCTACGATTTTATTTCTCTGTTTTCTCCTGAGTTTTAGTTTTGATTGAGAAGATATACAAACACTCAAGGTAGTGTTTGACCACATCATCAAACACCTCAAAGTTCATCAAAAATACTCCGCTATGCACCATATTTTCAACTCTCCTCTCAATGTTTGGAAATGTGGTCAAACACGGTCTTTTGTGTTTGATATATTACTTCAAAAACAGTGACACAATCTACTGGGAGTCTACAAGCCCTTCACATTCTACCAAAAATTCTCGTTTCTGGCATTTCAGGAAAATTCCAGCAGCAAATGGAACAGCATTTTACCCAATTTCTGGAACAGGAGGAGAACCTCACTAACTACACCCAGATTTTCAAAAATTTCTTAACAGGAATTTCTGTCCCATCTAATTTCCATTCTGCAATTTTTGGTTGAAAAGAAAGCACCCTTCAAACCTAATGTATTCACGTCCAATAAATGACCGAACTGTCAGGTTTATATTTGATTAGCGACTTGAAGATATTGGGATCCTGTTTAAAATAACTTAATCCCACACTTGACCCTTTCATTATTAAGGTGATTCCTCACATTTGCATTGCGCATCCCTACTGAGCATAATTTATGCATCATTAGCGCGTGTTCGTGCACGCGCACATTAAAAACATGGTGGATTTGCCTTGATATTGAGCTCTGTCAGTTGAAAAATAGCTATAGCTCACTAACAAGCTCGGGCACCCCATATTTTTTTCCAGCCATTTTAATCAACTAATCGTTAGCTTTACCTGAGAAAAGACTGATCTGATTTCTATTGTTGAAAATTGAATAAATAAGGAAAATAGCAGCTGCACTGTAG